AACCACACATCTTCCTCATACTTCAAAACTCACATACATCGTTATTCTATTGAAGCCTCATCCATCTCTCCTCTATTCAAAGTCAAACCACCAAAACCCTTGTTTCTCCTACCACTCTGTCTCCTTTGTGATCATAAGTTTTGCAAGACAGCTGTTATTGTGGCTAATGAGGAAAGCAACAACAAGATCACACAACCCCATCTTTTTCCTTTCCTTAGTAGCACACGATCGGATCGCGACATACAAAGACTTTTGAAATTTAACTTTACTTCTGCCTCTCTGCCCGAGTCCAATGCCTGATGCCCCTTATGATTCTCCGTTCCTCACTCGATCTAGTTGTGGATTGAAGCCGAAACCCCAACCCACGCCTTAAAATACTATGCAGCTCTATAATACACAGAAGTCTCGCCATTCTCCTCTTTTATTTGAGCTAAGGCCGGTCTTGAAACCCCAACCTGAGCTACAACTAAAAAACTTGCTGCCATTTTTCTCTTTAGTCCAACTTGATAATCTCCAGTCACTCAAACGGATCCCAAAACCTTAGCCAAGCATTTTCCTTAATTTATTATTTGTGTTTCATATTTTATATTATAAAAGTAAATAAATAAATATACATCAAAATTAGAAAAATATTTTGTATGTCTTTTGTTGTTCTATTGTCGGTTATTGCCGTCGTCGCCGATCCTGCGTGGAATGGTATAATAAAGTGGGGTTGGGGGTGAATTTTTATTAAAATGTTCATTCGATGAAGCTCGTGTACCCACCTAGGGAATTAAATACCATTTGAGGAAATTGTGTTATCGTTTGGAAAATTTTTATAAAATAAGGGGATTTAAATATCTGTCCTAGGAAACATGAGCAAATGTCCAGGGAATTAAGTACTGTCCAAGGAAGTAAAGTGTACCTATTCTGGAATATTTGCTCTCGTGATTGTTCTTTTTTGTGGATACATTAAAGGCCTATAATGTTTTTAAGGATCATGGGTTGAAATACTCATTTTTCTTTCCCAACTGTAGTGTCTCATGACACTGACCAACGAGTTTTTTAAGACAGTTGGATAGGTTGACATTTTTCTCGATGCCTCCTAATAGAGATTGAAACTGAGAGGCTGCCAAATTTTTGATTGACTTGGACTTGCAAATAACTTAAAGTACTATTGAAACTCATAATATATTTTAACATGTGAATCATCTAAGGTTAAAAATAATTTGAATTTGAACTTTTAAAATTTAGGCTCTTAGGGTTTGAAAGTAATTTAAATTTGGGCCTTTAAGTTTAGGCTCTTAGGACTTGAAAATAATTTGATTTTGGGCTTTTAAACTTAAGTTTGTTAGGGTTAAAGTTAATTCGAAATTTAGGTTTTCAAACATTGACTCCCAAGGTTTTAAAATCAATTTAAAGTTAGGCTTTTCAAACTTAGGCTCATAGAGTTTAAACTTGCAAAATAAATTAAATATGAAATTGGGGCTAAGTTACACAAATTTCAGTTTAAATACCAAAATAAAGGCTTGATATTCCAACTTCGCCGCCAAATTAATATTATGTCTACTAGCAAACATAAGATAACTCTTTTAAAGCACAAAAAGAATTTGTAATCCAAAATCATAATATCTTTGTAAACATTCTATGTTCTAAATGATTTGAAGGGATACAAACTTCAAGGCCATTTCATAAGTAATTTAAGATATTTATAAAAATGAGTCAACCATGCATAATTTCAAAATCTCGCATTTGCCTCTTGATATAAATTTCATATCAACTTGATAGTTTAAAGATTGTGAAAGCCTTCAAAATAGGTAAAATTCTTTAAACTATTCAAATATATGAAATTGCTAACTCGTATTTGTTCCGCCAAATTAAATAAAAATTTGAATTTAAAAATTCCGAGAATGTTGTTCAGGTTTGAATAAAGTTTTCATTCTGATCAATCTCATTTTGAAAATCAATCAATCAAGTTGCATTGTCTATAAGATAGAGTTGTAAGTCCCACTTAACTAGTCTGATCCTCCTCTTAAGAACTGGAGTTGACGAGTCTAGTAAGTTCTAGCAATGTTTAAATCACTAACATAAAACTTTGTATGTCCAAATCGCCTATACTCCGATCCTTATCCTTATTAAGTCTAGAGTTGACAAAACTAATATGCTTATGATATCAAAATTGATAAATTTCAAATGAATCTTAAATGTAGAAATTTTAAATGATAAATCCCAGATGATGACTGCATTGATCGAAAATCTCAACTGAAGAAGTCACCTTTTAAATTAAGATTTTCAAAATTGATTTTCAAAGCAATATAATAAAATATTAATTTTAAATTAAATCACTTAAAACTTAAGCAAATTTTATACACCCTTGCACCAATTTGACAGGAGCGATACATTTTTAATTGACTTCAATTCGTAAAGAGCGAATGTCATATTGAGTGTATCAGCATATTCACACTCAAAGTAATTTCTTGCCATTAAGGACATGTTCCGAGTCATTTGTCGGCGTGGTTTAAGTCATTTGTCCATGTGGTCTAACCCAAATGCTCCACAAAAGTAATAGTTACGACCAAAGCCTAACTTGGTAGTTATCGTCCAATGATAATGTTATATTTTGGCCACAACAACAACCCTTTTGTTTCCTAATAGCTTTCTACCTTTTGAGCTGTGAACCATAATGGTACAATTAATTGACATAAAATCTTCTGTTAATTAAGGTCGACACCTCCTCTAACTACGTAGATCAGGGACCACGACGACCCAAGAGGAAACCATGGGATCTTGATTGAGTTCATCATCATCGCCCCCACCATTCACTCTAAGCTCAAGGTGATTAATTTTACAACTTAAAGAAGATGTTTGTCCCTATTATATTGTTAAATATTCAACATTTAATGATTAGTCTTAGTCGAAATTGAGTTCAGTAATATCATAATAAAATGAATGCAAAATTTCTTGGTAGTGTTTTCTCTACAATCCAATATGCCTTCTGAAAATTTGATTCTCAATGCTTTCAAGAACAAATATAAAATTTTGAGGTGTTGAAACTTTCAGAGCCCGCAATCACTTGTAAGAAGGAGATGATATAACACCCCTTAGAGTATAAACCATAATTTACAATCTCCACAATACATAAAATCCTTGCTAATTATCAAAAAACCAAAATTGATTTGGGATTGTATCCCTGGTAGAATTTCCTCCCACAATTGCGGATGGTTCCTCAATCCTGTTGGAACACGGCTCCAACAGCCGCGTCACTAACTATTTGCAATCATTTCAATCTAACTTTCACATTGTCATTGGGTTGTTCAAATTAACATTACATAATCATATTTATCCTACAATGCTTATGAAAATTAAACTAAAGGCGAAGCAATGAAATAAATAAAAGATTCCCTTGATAACTCGTGCTTTTCCTACATTAAAAAGTCAAGAAATAGGTTTGTCTATGTTATCCCTAATGTCAGTCTCCTTCCATCCTCTACCTTGTTCCAGTTATTGTTTTGCCCTCTTAAATTGAGTGGTACCGTCAACAAATAGGTAAATTAATCACCATTATGCTTGCTAGCACGCGAAAACAAATGTCACCTAGCTCTTTTTAATCTTTTCATGTTTTCTATGAAGCCAAATTCCACTCAAATAATGCAAAATGTTGGTCTGAGTTGATGGTGGAAAAATGAGAAGGAACTAGTGGAGGTGATGAAAATGGCTGGCATATTAATAGAACCCCATCATTAAGCAGGATTAGTGATGCTGGTTCAGAGAGCTTCTGCGCGAGCATGGAGCAGGCGGGAAAAACTTCTGCGCGAGTGGGAGCGATGGACCGACCCAACCGGTCCCATTGGGGACCGGTCCAAGATGAACCCAGGCCGACTGGCCTGAAGCGTGGGTTTTGGCAAGGCAAGCAGCCACTTGTGCTGCTCTCCTTCATTTTCTGCATTCGATCCAGTGGCATATTGGGAAAGAGACATTGCCGCTAATCTCTTTTCCTTCCTTTTCTGTGATTTCTTTATGAGTGCTACTTCTTTTTCTGTTTTCTGAAGTTAGAGTCTTTAAATTGGTGTTTTATGGATTTAAGGTTTTGTTCTTGTTGTGTATTGCTTTCAGATTTCCCATGTGGAATCCTTTTCCCTATTCTAGGACTGTATCCAAAGAGGTGGTGGTGCTCCGGTTATATCCTACTCCGAGTTGATGATTTTATCTCCCATTTATCTTCCCTACTCCATCTCCTCCTCTCTTAGCCGCCGGCTATCCCCAACCGCTTCCCCCTATGTTACCGACCCCATTTATGCTGCAATAACTTATTGCCCAGCTCTTTACCCTCACTTTTCCTTGCAGCCAGCCGTACCAACTACTGTCCCGCTGTTCCCGGTTGCTACCCCACCTTCCCACCAACCTCCACCGCCCTTGGCATACACTCTTGAGGTGTCAGCTTTGTCGTTTGTGTTTTGGTAATGTTCCAATTTATGATGTTATTTTTAGTTGGTGTGTGTTGTAACCCTCTTTTCCTATTAATAAAAGTTAATTTTTGTGGTTTGGTCACCTCCACCGCCCTTGGCATACACTCTTGAGGTGTCCGCTTTGTCGTTTGTGTTTTGGTAATGTTTCAATTTATGTGTGTTGTAACCCTCTTTTCCTACTAATAAAAGTAAATTTTTGTGGTTTGGTTTTTCTTCTCCGGTATCAATTAGGCAGCGTGTGGATGGTTAGCATTTGACGTTGACAGCCATTGAATTATTATTACTAATTAACTTGTTTCTTTTTTCCCTGAATTTAATTTATTTTCTGATCAGCACCTATTGATTAGTAAGAAGCTTCTACACGGTGGTTCATTTGTTCATAATCATCCCAAACTTTAAACAAGAATTCTCGTAGTGCAGACCCTTACTGACGTTTGAGTTTCTAGGTGTTTACTTTTGGGACAGCGAGAAGAATAATTTATTTTTCATGCTTTACTCCTCTATTGGTTGCTTAATATTCAAACATCTGAGGAGAATTTTGTTGTGTACTTTTAGAAAACATCAAACAAACTACAGGCAACACAGCAAGCAACGCTGAGGGCACTAAAGCTTTTTCTTCTTGGTGTCCTTCTGCAGGGTAATATTATTTTTTCTAATTTATTCTATGCACTCTCAAACATCTATGTCTAGAAAAATTTCATTAGTTAATTTTTTTTTTAATCAAACAATTTCAAGAAATAGGATATTTTATTCAAATGGTCATTATAACTTCGTTATCAAAATTCTATTTTCTTCTCTGAACCCTGAATAAATGAAGTTTTTGATGATTATCTAGGGATTGAATTATTTTAAAGATCACTTCTTATGGTTTGCTTTGTTGTAGTTTGTTCTATAATCTTTTATTTGCAAATCTTGGCATGTCAAGCCAATAGCCTGTAAAATCAAACTCAAGCTTACTATGTTTCTTCGAATTAAGTCCTGGGAGGGTTGCAGTTTAGTTTTTGACATTCATTAGAAGAACAACAGAACATAGTTACAGTACAATACTCTTAGGGTGATTTTGTGATGAAAAATATTGCATGTTATGACAGAAATGATAGTTTTTTTCTGATGTCAGGACCAAATGTAAGGTATGTGCTTGGATATTTCCTTACACATCATGCATTTTGAGGGGCAGTTGTGAGGTACATTAATATGGATTGTTCTATATGATCTAGTATGATTTTGAATTATAAAATTTAGGTTTTCATTTGTTATGAATGCTTGCTGCGCTACAATTATAATTTGGATCAACTTGCTTTCAGCAGTAATGATTGAATTATTGAATGAAGGACTTCTCGGTTATCAATTTATTTGTTGTGCTACTTGGTTGTATTCAAAAAGTGGAACGAACTTGAAATGATTAAGAAATATTGATTCTCTATTTGAAATTCTTATTTCCAGGCATGGCTATCACATTTTGTTTTTCGACGAATTATAAATAAAAGTGGTTCTCTACTTGTATCCTCAATCAAGGTCTAGAAGTTATGGAAATAAGACAACATTATGGAGACTTAAAACTTAATTTTATACAACTACAATTACACTTGCTATGCTATATTAAATTCAGTTTGGTGCGATAAAGTTATTGATTGCCAATTATAGCTTAAATGAGAATGTTAAGATGAATGGATGATAAATTAAGAATAATAATTAAGAAATGATTATATTATATGGATCACATGAGTGAAGATAAGATATTGCCGAATTGACTTGGGTCTTTTTTTCATCTATAATGGAGGGTAGAAGATGCAAAATAAGATAACAGTATTACACTCATTTAATATGATTGCAATGTAAAATGATAGATAGAACAAAGCAATATGAGAAACCTTATGACGTACCGAACATTAATTATGTCATATCATTTCTGATCCAGGTGAATTCTTAGTATAAAAGCTTTTGTTTCTACTTTTACGCTGTGTCGGGCTTTCATAAGCTTTATCCTTGGGAAGATTCTAGTTTTTTTTAAAGTTTAGATGATCTTTTTTCTCGTAACAAAATTCGATGGTGCGTCTTTTCTCTTGGTCCTAATTGCTTATCATTTCTTTTTATTTTAGAAACGAGGAATATCATTCATCCGGGCATCTTCTTAAGATTGATACTCTTGATTGTCTCATTTTTTTTCCATTTTTTTAATATTTAAAAAAGAGCATAACAAACTTCTAAAGGACTTCAGCATAATAGTCTCCTCAATGTTCTTTTCAAAATCTTCACTAAAGTGCTTTTTAAAAGTCTCATAGAATTCTTACCCAAGTCGGTTGAATGTTTCTTAATGTGATTTATTGTTGGTGTAGGGACTATTGACTGCATTGTTGTGGTTGATGAACTTGTTAGCTCTTTCATTGAGAAAGGATAACTTTATCTGTTAAGTGTAATGTGAAAAATTTTTCACTAATTGCAAATGGGCATTTTTTTTCTTTACTTATCATCATTTCTTCTTTCCACCATGATTAACATCTTGGATGAATTCTTTGATTCATGCTACCTTATAGATCATTGCGAACTGTCATCTTAGTAAATAATTAAAAAGTTTTGAGGGCCTTAAGCGTGAATATCCCATTTCTTCCCTTCTGATCATTAGTTTTTCTGATGTTCTTTAAAAAAAATGCTGCATGTTGTTTTGACAGTCAGATTGAGGCTTGTTACTTCAAACATGGGAACTGCTCATTACTAGTCTTTAGTTTGAAGATGACATTGCTTTGTTTTGCTGAGCTTCCCCCTTCCAAGTTAATATTCTTATAAGTATCTTGAAGTCTTTGAGTGGTCATTTGATCTTAAGATTAGTTTCTCCAAATCATCTTTAGTTTTCTTTGGGAAGTAATTGGATTGGGCACTCATTTGGCTAATATTATGGGTTGCTCTCTGGAAACTCTTCCCTTCAAGTGTTTGGGTATTGCTTTGAGCGCAAAAATTTTGTAGCATATTTTTTGGAACTTTCTTATTTAAAAATTTCAAATGAAAATCTCTTTATAGAAAGGAAATTTCCTATCTAAAGGTGGTAGGTTTGTGCCTATTAGTTCTAATTTAATACATCTATAAAACTTCTTTCAGATTGGAAATTAAATTATCAAAATAATCAATGTGATCATAAGCATTTTTTTTTTCTTATGAAAGGAATGAGGAAATTAGTGGTCTGAACTCTATCAACTAAGGAACATCTGCATCCTAAAGCTTTGGACGACCTTGATGTTGAAGACGCAGAAGGAATCTGTTTCTTTTTGGCTAATAGTATTGGGAGTCTGTTAGGGTAAATATTGTTTTTTTGTCGATTCTACCCTTCATGACAAACATTTCAGTTTTCCCTGGATTTATGGCCTGTCAACACGTGCTCATTCTTTCACCTTCTTTAGAGAATACCCCTTATTTACTTTGTTCTCTAAACGGTTCTTACCCTATTGGTTGTTCTGTTCTTTTTTGATTGATGGTATTTTATTCCAAAAAGTTCATCAATACTTTACTCATGATTTTGCAAAGGTATATTAGAATATGGCTTTCATCTTTTTTTGGCTGCAGTGCAATTTCCAACATTTGATTAAGTAGAAGGATATGTATTTATACGATGTTTAGTCATATTTAGACAGTTTAAAGGAATTTGCTAGATTTGCCTTATGCGTGATGGTGGAATAAAAGATATGAACAAGGAGGATGAATGGGACTAAATTGCTTTATGTTAGGAAAGTGCTTTTCAACATGTTTTTTTTTGACCTTGTTGTTGGGAGAGCTGAAAAGGATGTGAAGCGTGAAACACACTGATATTTCCCTGACGTGCATGCAATAGTAGTGGTTGATCGATAGGAAGAAGAGAAAAAGAAGCCAACATTCTTCTCTTCTGTTGGTAGTGACAATACAATCTCAACCATGTCAAGCTCCATTACACTGATTCCTCCTTGATGAACAGAAGTGGGAATGGTGGTCTCTAGGCTTGTTCTATAGTTCTCTCACTTTCAATGTGCTTCAATTTTCTTTCTGTATCTGTTAAACATTAATTTTCAATTATAGTAAACTGCTTGCTAGTTGTTCGGGAGTTATTAGTACTATGGTCTTCCTGAGTTGCATCCATTTTTTTTTTTTTTTTATATATTAAAGTTTATGTTGAAGCTCTTACATAAATTACTTTGGTCATAAAATTGCCAATTGCAATAATGTTTGGATGATGCGATAAGGATCACTCGTTGGCAGTTTAAAGGATTTGCTATAGTTATCATAGTAGTGACAGTAGAATAAAAATTAAAGAGCAAAAAGTTGATTTGAAAATAGGTCCAAATTGCTTTATGCCATCAAAGTGATTTTTAAATATGTTTTTCATTTACTTTTTTTTTCCTCAGAATTGGAATACACTTATGCTTTCAGTAAACATACAATTTATAGTAATATTTAAGTTTCACTTATTTCAGGCGGCTACTTTCATGGAGTAAATTCCTTATCATTTGGTATTGATATTGAAAAGATCCGTTGGTCTGGCATTTTACAGGTGCAATGCATGAAACACAAGTCTCTAAATTTTTTATCTATATTGTATTTTCCTTGTTGATATAATACCAATTTTGATTTTATTGTGAAATTTATTATTATTCCCGAATAAAATAAATTTTCATATGGTAATAGATTGCCCTGACTGATTTTTAGCTGAGTAAGTGACATTTAGAGTTCAAAAGGAAATCTTTACGTACGAGTTTTAATGTTTAACTCATTAAAAGTTCTATTTTTGAAATTTCTAAAATTTTTTCTAACAAAGGATATCAGGTTTCTAGATGGTGTGGAAGGATCAAGGGGTGGGTCGAATATTAGTAGGAAGAGAAACAAAGGAATAAAGAAAAAAATGACGGTGATGGTTGAAAACAGGCGCAACAGGTAGTTGGATGTCGAGTTCGATGCCAAAAACAGTAGGTAGGTAACAGTTGCAGAGGTATGGGTAGGTATTTAGACCATCAAATGAGATCACAATCTCGATTCAATCATGCTATAGGAACATTACTTGAGAAAAATTAAGGATACAAAACTCCAAGAAATAACCTTTATTTTATAATCCAAAAGCAAGAAGTCCCAAAACTAGGAAATATCAACATATGAGTAGTCCGAAGCAAAATTAACCTTAATTCTAATTCAATAATGAAAAAAAAAAGATCTAGAAGGATTGTTGGTCCCTGTGGGTGAAAAATTCTCGATTCGGGGGACCAGTCAGAAAATTTCTCGTTAGATGACACATGGGACAAAAGTCCCATTCACACGCCCATTCAGCATTTGTGGGAAAGCTCTTGTGTCACTCCCTCTGGGTAGGCGAGGCTTTGTCTTCTTCATTGAAAAATTATAGTTCACCGTAGTACGATGACAATTTAGCAACATTAAAAATAATAGAAATATTATTAGTTAGCGACATTAAAAATAATATAAATATTGTAGTCTCCCGACGGATCAAATTTTATGTATTATCATAAATCTTTTTAATGATTATGAATGGATCATTAGCTATAGCTTGAGCTTTCCAAATGATCTTTCAAAAATTTTTCTTTCTTCAATTTGATTCACACCATGTCACATTCATTGAAGAACATAGCTTTGCTGGATTTGTTAGCCCGCTTCTAATATTTTGTGTTATTTTTGACAATTTTCTTTCTCACTTGCTCATGTATGGTCTAAATCACTTTTATTAACTTTCGTATCCATGCTAAGCTCAATAGCTAATAGTATTGACAGAAATTCCAAAGGTGTGAGAGGATTCTATTTGTATGCAATCTCAAATTGAGTTTGGTTACAACTAGTCCACTAGCCAGTTGACAGGTCACATCTCATTTGTGATTGTATATGGGTGCAATTCTTTCACTTAATTGGAGTTAGTTCCGATACTTCTAGCTACTGAGCTTAGCACGGATGTAGGGGTTAGAGCCCTAGAGATTTTAATCTTACTGGAGCAAATGGGGACATAATTATTAAATAAAATGCTAATTATCCCAATTAGAGAAAAAGTCCAGAAAAGCCCAAGTCTTCAAGAGAGATGACTTGGTGTGTATTAGAGTGAGGAATGAACGATTTCCTATAGGTTCATTTGGAAGGCTCAAGCTTAGAGGGGAATATGCGTTCTATGAATTCTAGATCAATGTCAGTCAATTTGCCTGAAATTTTTGGCATCAAATTTATTGGTTGGAAGATTCCTGTACTGATTGTTTGAGGGGAATATGCAGGAAAGTTAAAGCAAACTTTGTTTCTGGGAAATTTGACAACACCACCCCGATATGTTTAATCATCCATACTCACGTGACCACATGGAGTATATTACATACAAGCATTTTATATTAATCAATTAATTACCATATGATTGAAACTAATAGAATTCAATTTCAAGTTGCAAGCCCGCTACTTTCTATAGCTTGTTTGGCTATTTTTCTGTTTGTCCTCGTTTGCTTATGTATAATTGGTTGAAGCACTACAATAAGATTAAGTTTTAAATAGGTGGCTCCTGCTCTCTGTGATGTCTAAAACTAGCAATTGAGTTAAAATCCTCTATGATATAATTCTATGTCGACCTCATCTGATGTAAAATATGCTTGATTTTTATACGCAGAACAATGAGATATAAATTTCCCCTCTGAAATAAAAACTAATAGGTGACCTGAAAAAATGCACAACTCAAATCCTTTAAGAAATTCATTTGCTGCTCATGTTCGTGTAGGTAAAAGTATTTCATACATCTTGGATTGTTGAGTTTTGATTAATATAAGCTATAATTAAGTTGCATGCAAATTTAATTAAATCACCACTACTAACAAAATGTTTAAAATAAAATAAAATTTAATAAAATGTTTAAAATAACAAAATGTCTACAGAGAGTTTTAAAATAAAATTTAACTCTCGATAAATTTATTAAATACATTTCTTGGTTTCTAATACTTTTTCTTAATTCACTCAATACCTTAATCTTTGCTAACAAAATTGATACCCGAGTTAACCAAACAACAGCAGAAGAGCAAATTTTATTACTAAAGAAAACCAATAGGTGGTTACAAATGACAAGCAGAAATAGTAAAACAACAATAAACAGAAGACAAATGCAACGAGGTTTGTATCTCAATGGGGGTGGTGGTCGGGTATATGGGATGGAAGGCCGGAGGTGGTTGTGGTTGGCTTGTGAGGAGGGTGGACAACAGGGGTAGGAAGGCTGAAAGGTTGCAGTGGTGAAGCTGAAATAGTGAAAAGAGGGTGGTTTGGTTGGGGAGCAGGAAAATGTGAAGGGTGGCTGCTGTAGGAGAGCAGTAGGCAACAAGGGAAAAAGGGGTGTGGCTGTTTACAAATTTGTAAGGTGAAGTTGTGGCTGAAGGCAGCTATGGACGTAGCCTGGAGGAGCTACAGCTGGGTGGTAGGGGCGTGCAAGGGAAGGACGACAAGGTGCGTTGAGTTATTGGTTGTAGGAAAACAAGAGGTAGCGAGGAGGAACGCGGTGACTAGGGAAGTGCGGGATTATAGGAACATTCCATGAACTGTTCGTCGAAGCGGCTACAACAATTACGACAATGAAGACAGTAGGAATGTTGTGGAGATGAAAATTCGAGGATGAATACTTCCTAGGAACAAGTTATAGCCGGAGCACCACTTGATTCTTGAAAGAAGATCACAACTTTAGATGAGCTACACCTAGAACACCACGCGACTTTGGATACAGCCCTAGAATGGAGAAATTGGGATGCCGACTACTGTCATGAACGTAAAAATAACAAAAGCTCCCCTAAAAATGAAAAAATAACATCTGTATAGACCAACAGTAAATAAGAGTGGGCCACACATCAAATTGGATGGAAACCCATGCTTGGAAGGACTGGTCGGTCTCTCCTTTGCCTAGACTGAATCGGTCCTTAGGCAAATCAGCGACACTTGTACTGTCTGGGGCAAAATATTGCACGCTTCAGTCTTTCAGGATTGGGGGAGATTTGATCTCATTCGTCGAAGCTTTTGTCGGCATGTTGAAGGTGATGGTGCTACTGTAACCTCCCAGGGCTGAAGGATCTTCTACTGCATCCCTAAAAGCACCTGGGTTGTATTGTCAACTGCACTGTCTCCAAAGACACCAGAGTTCTCCCCACTTATGAGAAAACATCCATATCGGTCCAACCATATTGGGGTACACTGAGTTGAACAGGGATTTCATGCCAAATATAATCTCCTTAATCCTCCGAAAGTAACCCAAGGCTAGTTTAACCCAATCAGAGGTGAGGACAGACTGAATCTCCTCGATTGGTGGCGGCCATGGCGGTAAGCTACTGACTAGGATGTCTTGAAACTCTCTTTGTACTGGTTGCCCTATGTCTGCCTTGTGCTCGTTTGTCTCCGGTCCTCTGCGATCACTAGAATTGGTCCTATTGACACTTCTCTATTGGCAAGGGCACCTGCCATCTGGGAATCCGAAGAAGGTAAGACTATCCCCTTACCTTTTGGTGAAGTGGGTGTTCTTGAACCCGTCGTGCCGATTCCGATGATTAAACTATCACGGTCTCTCTAATAAAAGGTAACAAGAATGCATCGGCGTCATGTTGCATCATACCTGATCTTGCAATTGGTTTTCAATCAAAAATTTCATTAGACACATTCTATCAATATTGACTCTTTTTTCCTTCAAATGCGTCATAGAGTATAACTTGGAAAGCCTCTGAGTTGTGAGGCTCAATTTGTTCACCATATGTGTACATGCCATATTCTTGCTGCTTCCTCCATCGATAATGAGACTGCATAAATTTTCTTAGTACAACGAGTGTAGAATATTTTGTAGCAAAGTTATTGTTGATCCCTCGTGTCCTTAGTATGTAGAACCCATCGAACCACTAGTGTGTCTCCCTAATCCAATGTTAACTGATACTCCTGACCCTGTTCTTTAGCTGCCTCTCCTCCATTGCATTCTGCTCAATGAAAGACACTACCCAACTCGTCTGACAAACTGGAAGCATGTGTCCAAAACCATGACACTTGAAGCATTTCTGGCTGGGACTGTCTTAAACATGCTATTCTTCCCAGGCTTCTTCTCACTCAGAGTGGAGCTGTCCTGCCCCTTACTAGCTCTTCCACTCCTTGAGGCGTGCTCTTCCAGAGATCTCCCATTGTTGGTGGTTGGCTGTCTGATTGGCTTCCAGAGATCTCCCATTGTTGGTGGTTGCTCGCTTTGCTTCTATTGTTTCTCCACTTTTAGTGCTAAGGTCTGCATGTTCCTCAGTGTCTAATAGGGTTGCAGCTAAACTACATACCGATGACGGGCTTCAATCTTCCTAAGTACCTGGCTATGGCGTGCTCCTCAGTCTCCTTCGGCTCACAGTTCAACTTAAGTTGCATAAATTTTGCCTTGTATGCCACTGTTAGCTCCTTCTGTTGCAGGTAGTGGAACTTTAACAAATATCCTGGCGATAATGCAGGGTAGGTACGGTCGTTACATCGCCTTCTTCATTGTTTCCCAAGAAGTGATTTTGTCCCATCTTTCTCTCTATCTCTCCCTCTTTAGACTCTTTCATCACAAAGAGACTTTCTTCTTTAGCTTGATAGCAGTGAGCTTTACTCTTCTGTCATCAGATGCCTCCTTTGTGATGTCAACTCTCACGCCCATGTTGGGCAAAAGACTAAGCGTCTTCCATCCTTCTTGAATGAACAGGAACACGAACTGTCATGTTGCACCACATCTGCCCATGTAGTTGATCTTGAATAGAAAATTCAAACAGGCTCTGTTGATCCACATGTTTCTCATTTCCCCTAGGATTGAGGATGTTTCTGTGTGGCCAACTCCAGTTTCTTCACATCAGAGTGGATGCTACATTCTTATAGCTCCCACCGTTAATAATCAGACTGTAGATCATTTTTTTTATAGTACATTTGGTGCGGAAAATACTATGCCTTAGCCAAGAATGATCTTTTTGTGATTTAGGCTGTAGGACCGTCCTTACTACTAACATTTCTCCCTCATCTCTATGAAGTGGAAGTTACTCATCCCGATCCTCCTCTGCGTCCTCATCACCCACTTCCTCAACGACACTCTACTCAGTGAATGAAACAACTCGACTTGTGGGGCAACTAGAGGCTTTTTCCATAGCTGTGACACCTAAAATATATTATGGCAGACATTGTACCAGTTGTATTACTCTTTTCAAATTTCCTTCCACGCAAATCTGTCTCGTCACTTTCTTGTCCTATCTTCCCAACTCCTCTAGATGTTTCTTTGTTACTATCTGCAGCTGTACGTAGTTGCTGAATGAGGGCGGTTGTCTACCGTCTCTCCACTTTCAAGACTATGGTGTGGACATCTTCCAGTGACCAATAGGACTGTAGCTGCACAATTTTATTGATGGTTGGCTTCAGGCTTCCCATATATTGGGCTATAATATATTCCTCTGTGATGCGAGAGTTTATCGCCCACAGTACCCCAGATGCGTTATCGTAGCTACTACATTAACCATGGTCCCCCATTTCTATTTATTCTTATTCTTATTTCTTTCCGGATGCTTTACCTTTATAATTCCTTCTCTACTTCTTTCCTTTTCCTCTCCTTGTTTATTATTCCTATTTCCTATCACACTCTTTACCAAATTTATTAAGTAATCCCCTCTTTATACATGTGTGTTTTGTGAGGTTAGAGGAATTTTTCATGATTGCTGATTTCAGTTGATGCCGTTGAGACATTCTTCCCTCCAGGGGTTGTATCCGACGACAAAGTGTTTCGGCTATAACTTGTCTGAGGTGATGACCATCTCTAAGGGTCTGGGCGGTGCTCCTAGTGTAGCTCGACCCCGACGAGACATTTATATTTCCGCAACCCCATATCCCACGCAGTCTAGTGATCTCCAGCTTGTTGCCCTCCCTCCGGCTCACCTTCAGCAAATCACCAGTCTTTTATGTTTGCTTATTGCTACTGCTAGGCTAGTACAACAAACAGGTTGCTGTCGCTGTCAAATCACCTTCCAGACCTACTACAGATCCCGCTACCTCTTCCTTGCTGTAAGCCGCAACCCCCACTTCCACTCTTGCTGTACCGCCAACACTCCACCCTCTTCTACTACTTATATCCATCCCTTCCTTTCTACCCCCCAACCATCTCCCTCTCTCTAGCCCTAATTGGGTCTTTGTATCGTGTCTTTGTTGTTATTTCCTTTTGTCGTATGTGTCATTGTAAATTCAACGATAATATTATTTGCATTTTATTTGTGGTTTGGGCTTTTTTCCAGTATCACTCTGGCTCGACTAACTCACATTTCATCTGCAGCTGGTTAAACTATGTCATGAACTCCTCCACTAGTAGGTCTGTCTGTTGTAGGTGATGGAACCTTATAAATATAACTTGACGGTAATAAGGAGGTAAGTATTTGCTTTGCATCTTCTTCCTTATCTTCTCACATATAGTAATCTTATCACTTTCTTCCCTTCTTTGCCTATGGAACTTTTTTCCACCACAAAGAAACATTCTTTTTCAATTTGATGGCCGCAAGCTTCATTATCTTATATTCTGATATATTTTTGTATTCGAAGATTCTCTCAGCTGACTGCAACTATTCAATGAAATCATCTGGATCCATCCCTTTATCAAACTCAAGTAGATCCACTTTTACTCCAAATTCTCTCTATCCTCCATACATTGTCTTCTCTAATGATGAATTTTGAAGTAATATTGTCTATCCTGCTCATCATCGAAGTCCTCCCTATAGAAGGGATTCAAAATCTCGTCCCTTAATGATGAATTTTGAAGTAATATAGTCTATCCTGCTCATCATCGAAGTCCTCCCTATAGAAGGGATTCAAAATCTCGTCCCTTTCTCCTCTTCGACTCTTCATATCATGATTGAGGATAATTTTTCTTTGGGCCCCGCCATTAATTTTTGCAAGCCACTACTGAGTTGATGAATTTCTTGCTGTATCTCCTCTTGTGTAGGTTCCGACATGTGTCTCGTTGGTCTCATGGTTAGAGATTTGGATTTGTGGGAGTGGAAGATGGTATTTGAGAACATGAAAGAAAAAATTTTTAAGGTGGAAAAGGTGTAAGAAGGCTAGAGCACCTGCTGAGACTTAATTTTGGGATCTAATAAGTCACGCATGTTTATTTTATCATTACTGATTCTCTTGAAGTTTTTAGAGTTAATTTGATGCTCAATTTATTCATCAATTTTAAATAGTCTTGTTTCATGTTCAATTTATAAAATATCTTAACCAGATTGTAAAGTATACTTGATTATATTTTGAGCATATTTTGCCTCTTTTTATGAGCTTCATAAATAAGAAAATAAAAATGTTTCTTGTTGGATTTGCTTTTCTTAAGGATTTTGGTACATCCTTGTAAGAGTGGGTTCTTTGGAGCTATCCGATGTTTGTTTTGTAAACCATTTTTACTAGTGTGTTCTAGATATTTTTTCTATTTATTGACGTTTTTTCCATTATATATTAACTAGAAACAAAGATACAATGTGTGGGAGGGCCCAAGCATGACACCCTGCCCACACAAAAATCACAAATGGTTTCAAAACTAGAAAATACAGAAAAGTACATTGGAGACTTAAAGAAAAAGCCTAAAGTGTTGAAATACAAAATATCAGGTGGCTAGAGAGCGATCCAATTTGGAAAGAGCAAGCTAATAAGTTGGTAAGATGATTGTCATTGCCAGTAGTAACCAATGTATTATCCAATATATTCTTGAGCTGGAGTCGACCTCCATTCTTCTTCTTCCTCCTGGAGTTGACCTGCCATTCTTCATCCGAAGATTGACTCACCTGATCTTCGTCTAAAGAGTGCTGGAGATGTGCGGGTTGTTGAACATTAGAAGCAACTATATGTTGTACCGACTGATTTGTTATTGGATCAAAAGAGCACTCTCGTGTGCCTTGACATGTAAGTGAGTCTTCTTCAATAATAATTAGTGGTATAAACACAACTGGATCTATAGCTGTAGTATGATGTTATTCGTCAGGAACTGCGGTGTTGGAAAGAGGATTGTGTTGCATCTTCTCAACAGGGATGATATGTGGCTGATCTTTAACGATATCCGACCTTAGATGAGGATTCAAATACTAAGTGCTAAAGGTTATGACCAATATGTGGAACTTCAAGTTGAGCAAATAGAAGTTTAGAATTTCTAAAGGTGGGGGTTCTTTTATAGTCTTCTAAGAATAGTCAACAGAAAAGTCCTATGGCTAGAACTTAGGCTACTAAAGAGAAAAATTAAACCTCAACCAAAAGTGAGGTCAACAAATATCAACCTTGAGAGGCTTACCGTAAGCAATTGCTAAGGAGTGAAGAATTTTCAAGTTGAACATATGTAATTTTAACCCCGGAAACTTTATCCAACCTGGAATGATATCGACATCGCGAGACAATTGAATTAGTATGTCTCGACCGTCAAGTAAACTAATATTTCAACTGCCCAACAACTTCGTAGCATTAAATTCTTTTCGAATCATCTCAAGTTTTGAGTGATTATAAATAAAGAAATTTTCTTACTAGAGCAAAATGCCACGAGGATGCAAGGCCAACAACTTCATAGCATCAAATTCTTTTCGAATGATCTCAAGTTTTGAGTGATCATAAATAAAAAAAATTTCTTACTAGAGCAAAATGCCACGAGGATGCAAGAGTACTGGTTTCAATCTCTGTGAGAATAAGAGCAGACTTCCCATTTTTTTTTCTTAGTTTTTTAATGAAGGTGTGATCACCACCACCTTCAAGAGCCTCGTGAAATGATTGTGAGACATTGCATTTCAAGAGCCTCGTGAAATGATTGTGGGACATTGCATGATTTACCTATACGAAAGTCAATCTCTGAATCTGAAAGAGAAAAACGAGTAGTAGGAATAGGAAAGTCGCTGACAAGTGCATTGGCATAGGAACGTAACGTCCATGCCATCTCCAGAGCAGCTAGGCGAGCCACCTACCTATATGAAAACCAATCTCTGAATCTGAAAGAGAAAAACGAGTAGGAGTAGGAATAGGAAAGTCGCCGGCAAGTGCATTGGCATAGGAACGTAAAGTCCATGCCATCTCCAGAGCAGCTAGGGGAGCCACTGGAAATAAGCGGGCAAACTTCGGAGGCAGTACAACTGTGAGCCGTCGACTGCGGGTAAGAGACGCGAGCGTCGAGAGCCTTCGATTGCGGGTGAGAGAAGACGCGAGCCGTCGACTGCAGGGTCGTCTAGTACGAGAGCAGCGAGTGTCGCCGAGAGCAGGTGAGACATTGTCGAGTACAGAGAAGAGTGTC